AATATTTATTTAATTTTACTCAATAAAAAATATTTAAAACTACTGATTTTGGTGGAAATGCTGAAAATTGAAAGCATACTTTAAGCTCCTCAGCTCTCATCCCATCCAGCAGGTACCGCAGCAGCTCCTGGCTGTCTTGCTGCTGAAATCCTTTAAACCTGGCAGCCCTGCAGAGATGAAAGGAATAATAAACAACTTCTAATTCATCCAGGGACAAAATTACAAATAAAGCACAAGGATCCAACTACTCTGCATAATAGTTACAGAACTTACTTTTTACAAACTTGTGAGAACAACTCGCGCGGCGTTACCACACCCTTTTTGGACTCCTGGATCTCATTGAGTAGTTTACACATAGCCAATGTTAGAGATCCAGGCTGATCTAATGGCACTGATATAGGCTCCTGTAATCACAATAAATGATTTGATTAAGGTGTAAAAATGGAGGTTTATGTGATTTATGAATTGGTTAAGCAGAGTGAAAACACACCAGACCCAAAGAGGGATCAGGTTGAATGTCGAGGATAATTTTCTCTTCTGTTATTTTGTTGAGGATTTGTCTCAGAAGCTGAGTTTGTGAAAGATTCTGGAAAAGAAAGTCACAGATAAAAAAAAAACAAAAAAAACAGAGCTCTGACATCTCCCCGAGTTACGATCGGCTAAGGGCACAGCCTTACCTGCAGGACTGCGTTGAAGAAACAAGTGTTTCCAAGGTTGCTCAGCCCTTTGACTGGAACACTGTCATTTTCTTCAACTGTGTTGTGGGTTGGAGATTTTCCAACATTCTCTTTTTTGATGTTTTTCCGCTGTTTATTCCTGGTGTCTTTGTTTTCCTTGTCCTCACCATCTTCTGGGTTTACAGTTTCTGTCTCCTGTTTAACCTCCAACACATCCACATCCTCTTTCACTCCTAAATAAAAAAAAAGAAAGTAAATAGATACTGCATGTCATTTTTTTATTTGGATTTAAAACATCCTCTGTGTGCTTCTCTCAGTAAGCTTGAGAATTAACTTAAATGGAAGTATATTGATGCATTATTGAATTCAAAATGAGCTAAGATGTAGTCTTTGCAGCCTTTAGAAGTCTATAGCACACATGAAAAAAATATATCACTATTACAAAAGCTTTAAAATGAAAATCTATGAAAGTTTTGGCAAATGCTTATTTAATGACAATTCTACATCATGTTTTATTCAAAAGATAACAGAATAACTGCATTAAAGAAAACCTGGCACATCTAATTAGTCTTACTACTTTTTCTAAATACTACTTTTTAAAATACTAAATGAACAAAGAATTTTTTGGGCAGCTACAAGAATTTCCTTATATAAGAATCTATGACTAAAAAACAAACAAAAATAAACATGATACTAAGTATTTATTCATGCTACAGTTGATCCTTAAAGTCATATTGAGGTTACCTATAACATTTATGCACATTTGAATATGAAACTGAAGTTCTTATAACAACTAGTATATTTAGTACTAGTTAAGATAATGGTGTTTGGTGTTCCTTAGGTGTGCACATCCAAAGTGTTTGTGTTTTTGCAATTTTCACACAGTTGGATTTGTCTTTAATGTAAGCAACAGAAAAGTATCATAGTCTTCTTTCAGGCAGCTGATTGGCTGTTTACAACAATAGACTGGAGAGGTACAGTTACTTCATTTAAAAATGTATATGCATGAATGGTATGACCCACATCTTAAGAGTTTGAGGATGTCTGTATCCCTCTAAACATTAACCCCATTCCTGAATGACACTAAGAAGAGATTCTGGAATCTGTGGATTCAGATAAATGAGGGAGACATATTTGTTTATACATCTAAATATCTACTAATACATACTTTTCTGTGGTCTCTTCATGGGATCTGTGGAGATCTGCTTGTTCAGGTTTTTCACCAGCTGTGCCAGTTGCCCTGTACTTGAATATGTGACCTCATCATCACATAGGTAACACCTTAAAGAAAATATTTTCAAAAAAGAGGCAGTGATTTAATCATATTAAAAGACATATTTTTCCTTGTTATTTACACACACACACAAAAACAGGCTCACCATACGCTCAAGTTGTCCAAACTAACCACCAGGCAATGTGGATCTGAGCGAGGAGTTTCATAATGTTTGATGGCATGTTGGTTCTCAGAATGCCTCCCGCATCCCTGACAAGACCAATTGAGACATTAATTTAAAATGATTATACACATAAATAAAATCAGCTGAATGAAGGGCTCCTACAAACTCACCCTATGCCCACATTTCAAGCACATCCATACGCCAACGGTTTCCTTTTCCTCTGATTCCTCTGGTTCAGTCTGGCAGATATTTTCTTTATTCTCCTCATGCTTACAATCTTGACAATTGGTCCAATCAGAAACAGCAGACAGTTTCTTCAGAAGAGTTTGGTCAGTACCTTTCCTGATATGTCTGCAGGATGGACCTAAACAATAAATAATTTGTTGTTGTTTTCTTTTCCAGTTGTTGAATAAGTTAAAATGTGTGATTTCTGTATTTACCAGACAGATCAATGTCCTCATCCTCTCTGAAGCTCCTGTTTTTCCCCCTCTTCTTTCCCATTCTTTATCTGCTTTAGACAGGCATGCAGAAGAGCCAGCATATAAGATTTTAAGGCCACGTTGCTGTTGCGTTCAATGTCTGGGACATTCCATAAGGAAATAATGTGACAGCAGAGATACAAAATCAACTTACTGTTAAAGGCAGAGGCTTAAGCTTTGGCCGTTTTCAGTTTCGTTTACTTTGTTCAAATGAGTTCCTTTGTCCGGACATAATTGACTATTTCTCCCGATTAAAGAAAAGCGAGCAGAGGCGGTTTCTATCTGTGGCTGTTTGCAGTCGGTATAAATCAAAACGCTTCGCTAAATAGGCTAAAAAACGCGAGATGAAACACGTGCGGTGTAGAGGGGAACAAAAATGCGATGCGTGTAAAAGAAAAGAAGACACATGAACTACTGCATGATCTTCCGATCGTACGTCCATCTTGCCCCCATGTTGTGAGTGGCAATTTTTCTTATGTCTTTAGGCCGGTGCAGTTTCAGTACTCAAAACCAGGTATTCTGCACCTTTCAATTCATTAGCCTGGTAGATATCTGGGGAATTGAAATGTATACTGGAAAGAAGCAGGATACTGACTGTTGAGGACTTGGGGTTCTAAGCTCCTGACAGCAGTATGTGAAAGAAAAAAATAGTATATATTCTGGTAAAGGCCAGAGTTGGGTAATGAAAGTCCAGAGATCAGTTCTCATTATGTGCATTTGAGTAATAGACAGGGACACATGTTAAATTAAAATCACCTGGTTAAATGAAAACGAAAAAGGAAATCTTATCTGCCTTCCCAAAGCTCCTTTCATAACCACTTTTGACCCTTCCAAAGGTGAAGGAATAAGGACAGGAGCTACAATTGACCCAAATTCAGAATCAGCCAGCGTTTCTACCTTCTGAACCAAAGTCCACAATTAAAAATTAATACAATATAATAATAATAATAATAATAATAATAATAATAATAATAATAATAATAATAATAATAATAATAACAATAATAATAACAATAATAATTAATAAAATAATTGAAAAACCTTCCTGGATGGGAAGAGAAACATCTTCAAACTTGGTAACCAAGTCCAGTATATATATTTTTTTGTAATAATAATAATAATAATAAAGGAGCTATTCAAAAAGAAATCATAAGATGATTTTTACATTTGAGGAAAACTCTTCAATGAACAAATAGCATTGTTCATGAAACATATTTTTGAAAAAAAAAAAGAGTAATTTTTATTTATTTTTTTATTTTATTTCTTTTTTTTCGGAAAAACGTGCCACTCACAACATGGCGAATGCACGGCCACGGCTCGTTATCAACAAATGGGACACGAAGAATTTTGTCAATTTCCTGTGTGCACCACTTTTAAAGTTCCGACTTGAAACTATTTGGAGATTTCCGAGTCCAAATGATTTAATGTCATTTTTTAAAACATGTCTTACAAGGAGTGGGCCGAGTCGCAGCTGGCCGAGGTAGAGCTGCTAACCAGCATGTTTCCCGGTGAGGACGAGCTGGACCTCACCGACCAGCTGGCTCTGGCGGACCTCAGGAGCTACGTGGAAAACTCGGCTTCTGGAGACAAGCCTTCTCCCTCCAGACCCCAGTTTTTAATTAAACAGAGGCTCCACTCTTCCGTTATGAATGGGGTAATGCGCCTGTAACAATCACCTAATGATATTATAGTTGCTTGTTTTATGCTTCAATTCTTTACTTTGTTGTTTCATCTTGTTCTTAGACTGAATTTATTCTGTCCTGTGCCTATCCGTCTGAATACCCCAGTGTGTTGCCGGATATAACAGTAAGGTAGGTTTTTCCACTCTGGATATGTGATTAAATATGATATTATGTGAATAGAATTTGGAAAAATAACAAAACTTTATTACAACATATCTATTCAATTCAGTTCTTTTATGTAGCTCCAATTCACAAAACATGTCATCTCAAGGCACTTTACAATTCAACCAGATCATACAGTCAAATTAATTCAAAGTTTTCTATTTAAGGAAAATCAGTTGATTGCATCAAGTCTAATGCAATCATTCACACTAAACATGCTTGTAGCGACAGTGGAGAGAAAAAAAAATCCCTATCTGTTATATAATACCTGCACAGCTTCCGCATTCTATAATTGCAACCACAAACTTCTCTAAATCTTAACTAAAAAAACACAAAATTATGCTCTTGGCTCAGAAGGGAAGCTCTACATAGTTTAGATAATGTATTACAAATAAAAATGGGGCCATATACAAAGCGGATTTGTGCATAGCCCTTGTAGTAAACTAATTTAGAAGTGTGTTATGTATTATGACTATAAATAGAACTGTGCTGAGGAGGCATTAAGAGGTTTCTAAGATAATCTATACCTGGATAAACAGATCTATTAACACCAGTAAACAGATGGAAGTAAAAGCTAAATGGTAAAGTTTAATACAGAGTTGGGTCGATAATCAGTATCCAAAGAAGGGCTGAAACAATCGGATTAATTGCGATTATCGTCAACTAATTTAGTAAAGGATTAATCGTTAACTGGATTGTAGAGACTATAAAACATGCCATTAGCTGACAGAGCAACCCACCTTTAGCAGCAATTTTACCAAATTTATTTAAAAAAATTCCTATTTTGCATTTAAGATAGAAAAACTTTTTGTCTGTCATGTGCTCTATCCAGATCTCAAGTGGAAAAGTTTTAGTTTTCACCTGGTTTAATTTTGTAAAAAGTCTTTTTTAAGGAACGTTTTCTATCTGATTATTAATCGAATAATCGTTAAAAAAACTGTCAGATTAATAAATTTACTAACTAATCGTTAGTTGCCGCCCTGTTTTAACTGTTAAACATACAACTTTGGAAAACACCCCATTTGCAATAATAAAACATACACATGTTCCTTCCAAATCTTTGTTTTTTGCTGTTTCATATTTAAATCCTGAGCTCCAGCGTCGAATTGTGTGGAACTTTAAGATGAAAATAATTGATAAAAGTTTTTTTTTTATGTCTAGGTGTTCAGCTCTTAGCAGAGCCCAGCAGACAGAAATCCAGACAGACCTCAATAAATACCTGATTGAAAACTGCCAGGGAGAATTATGTGTGCTTGCTGCTGTGGACTGGGTGAAAGAAAACCTTGAGCATTTCATCAAGATGAGCTTATCAACAGCACAGGCTCCTAAACCTGAGTCTGCTTCTCAACCCTCACAAGAAGCGTTTAGCCGACTGTGGATCTACAGTCACCACATCTACAACAAGTCAAAGAGGAAGAACATCTTGGAGTGGTCAAAGGAGTTGGGCCTTTCGGGGTTCAGCATGCCTGGAAAGCCTGGCATTGTGTGTGTTGAAGGCCCTAAGTCAGCCTGTGAGGAGTTTTGGTCCAGGTACCTTTACTACTCCTATTTTTGCAAACTTTGCAACAGAGCAAATGTAATTATTGTTTCAAGCGTTTGTTTTTTTTTTCTTTTTTACTTCAGAGTGAAGGTTCTGACTTGGAAGAAGATCATGATTCGACACAGAGAGGATATTACCCTTAATCACCACGGCGAGGACAGCACGCCTGTTGAGAGTATAGACTCCTTGCGCAAATTTACAGGCTTTGAAGAGGCGATGTTTGACCCTCATGGGAATAGAGGCAATCACATGGACCTTGGACAGCTCTACCAGTTCTTAAATGAGAAAGGATGCTGTGATGTCTTTCAGATGTATTTTGGTATCGAAGGCAGGTAGAAATCAATGCCATAGAACAGGTCTCAGTTAAAGTGAAATTCAATTATTTTTAATTTGGTTATCAAAGAAGCCTCAACGGTGAAAATACAGAAAAAATCTTGTTTAGAGATTGCGTACTCATTTTGGTTCGATTTGATTCCAACTAAAAAGGATTTATAATGATGTCATTTAAATCCCCTAAAGTTCATTTTTTGTGTTTCAGAATAATATAATTTTGCTTCAAATCAAATTTTGCCTTTGGTGTTTTCTTCCTTAAAAAGCCTGGTGGCTGTTTTGAAGTTTTTAATAACATGTTTGTAAAACCTGCGCAAAAATTAAAACTTCATATACATAGGATGTCAGTTTTTGTCTTTGCAGAAAATTAAACTTATGTTAGCCCCTTTTCTCTCTCATTGTTTGGTTTTTAGATTAAGCTGTATCAAGGTGTATCTTTATAAGATGCATCCAGAGGAGGTCTCCTGTTTTTAATGTTCCACCATCAACCAGCGTCTAGGAAACATACCAACACTTCATCCACAACCTGTAAAGATATAGAGCTAAAAAAAGAGCAACTAACAAATGTGCTAACTCCTCACATCAGATACTCTTACCTTCATAATAGCTCTACAATGCTCTAATAATGAAAATGAAATGAGACAGAAGCAGCTTATTTTCCTAGACTGTCTGTTGAACCAAAAGTAGAAAACTTTTCTGGGGAGTCAGACACTTTGCTAGAATAACTGGCTTTTGCATCAATATAACTTGCTTTCTTACTTTTACTTACAACTGATTACTTTTTTAATGTAAAATGCAAATTTTTATACTCTTATTCAGATTTTTTTTTTATTCTCTTCCCACCCCTTTAAAGAGCATTTTATATAATATAGTTTGGTTGTTTGAAAAAATTTAATATGAGGTTTGGAAAAGGGACGTAAAATTCCTTGTTTGTGTTCAAAAACCTGGCCAATAAAGCTGTTTCTGATTCTTTCAAACAAAATAAAAAATAATGAGGTTTTGATGCAGTTCAAACTATTGAACTTCCATAGATTTTATTACAACTATGTTGTTTCTTGTAATAAAACTAGTGCTGCGCCGATGCCCGATAACTGGCTGTGGAGTATTGGCCGATACCATCTGTTTGAAATTGATGTGTGTGTGTGTGTGCATATGAAGCACTGCATACTACTTGGATGTAAAATAATTGCCATCATGGCTTTGTCAAGCTGCTGCCTACCTTTGTGAAGCAGGAAAAAGACTTATACAAAGTAAATCCAGTATAACTTTTTATTGCCGACCTGGAATGGGTGACAATAGTTGAATAAACTTTTGGCTCTCAAAATGGTATTGGTGCCCTATTTGTTGGTATTCGCCGATACCGATACCACCATTTTAGTGCTGGATCGGTGGCCTGTCCGATACTGGTATCAGTACACTAGTTAAAACTCACCTGAACCAGTCAGAAGGGAATTATTTAGGTAAAGCACAGAAAGAATCAAGATTGTTTATTCTCCTTATGAAACTGTATTATTTTTCAGACCTCTAGCTTAAAAAATCCTAATAAAACACTCTTAAAATATAAGTATATAATATGGAATATTTTTTTGTCCATAAAAGAAAGCTGGAGCCAATTATAGTCTATAAAATGGTTTGATAATACGGTACTTCTGGTGGTCAGTAGTGGTTTGTGTGATAGGGTGTGAGTGTTTGACTACAG